TCTAGCTTGGTGCCAGAAATGCACAAGCATCTGTTTCGTTCACAGTCAGCTACTCTGTGTATAAACAAAGGACCTCAGTATCTAATTCTGCACTACCAGACCCCTTCGCCACCACTAAATTCACTAAAGAGAGTGGTGACAGAGTGGGAAAGAACATACCCTTAAGGCTGCTGCTGAGTATTTCTTCATAATTAGATATCACTAGAATCAGAAAGGAATGAGGGATGAGAAATGTCACAGTTCATTTTAACCATGGAAACATGACATTTCAAGAGGATGTAGTATCTGTTTTTGTTATTTCAAGGGCCTTCATAAAAGATTTGACAGGGAACCAAAAACTACAGTGGAAAGAGCAAAGTGACTTTTTAAAATTCTTTGAAACGGTGTACATTAAGTGTATAAGAAAAAATCATAATGACTCTCTTTTCTTTTCAGTTTTGTATTTAACACTGTTAAGACCCTGCTTCCATACTTACCCACTTTGCATTTTCCTATGCTGTTATTTAACTTAATTATTTGTTGGATTAAATTAAACGGCAAAAAATAAGCAACGCTAAAAAGTGCACCTGGCATGATGGGATTTATCCTGTATTCTAAGTGCCTTGATTTGCAACATTATGCATTACAGCTAGTAGTCATCACTGCTGTGAACACAAAGATATATTGTGACTCACTCCCAATGTTTCTACTAGCATTATAAACTGTGAGAGCACTTGATGAATAACAGAGAGTCAAGAATGGAGTCACCCATGTTTCAGTCTGTAACCATCTATTATGTACACTGAGCCAAATTCTGACCCCAGATACATACAACTACCATTGAAGCCCGCCCACTGTATTTATTTTTAAAGATAAAAGCACTTCTGTTACTTTCACAGAGGACTTTCTGTAGTATGGCCCATTATAAGAATGTGAACACTCTTCCAAAATAGTTTGGACAGAAGGAAGAAGTGTTCAACTTGGATGAGGAACAGACACTTCAGATAATAGCATTAGGATTATTAGATTGGGGACAAGAACCATCACTTTTATCAACAGGATTTTCAAAAATGCTTTCACTCTGCTTTGCACTTACATAATCCTTCTCAATGAAAATCCTTGGCTACTCTGTACTCATTTCTGTAGAGAATAACTACTGGAGTTAGAATGTGATATGTGTACAAGATCCTCTAAAGGCAGTGGTAAGGCCCTTATGGCCTCCAATGGCCCTTATGGCCTTTGGATCAGGCTCAAAATGCCTAGGATGGACAGTTTGATTCAATAGATAGAAGCTCTTAATAGAGTTTGCTCAACATAAAAAAGAAACAGAATTGAGTGCCGCTTCCTTTTTTTCACAGAGCAACCTAATTTCTGCCCTCAAATTACAGTTTCAGTGAACTCCATTGATTTTTGTTGAGTGTTAACATGTTTTTCCAGAGGGAAGAATTTGGCCTGTGACCTCATGCTTTTGGAAAGAGCTTTGATTATAAAATGTTTATGAATAGATGACTGTACTGTAGCTTCCTGTCTCTCATTGTATCAACCAAAACCTCTTTCATAAGGATTACAGAAGAACATAAGGGGAGAGGAGAAACCAAAGAGCAGGGCCTAGTTAAAATGAAAGTTAATATTTCTATAATTGACTGAGATACAGAAGTTCTTTTAATCTCAAGATATCTTGTCATTCTTGTAAACCTGCCATTTTCAATGCAGAGTAGAAATGTTCTGCTCAAAACTAGAGCCACCTACAACAGTCTTTACTCAGTCAAACTTCCCAATGGAAGCATGCTAGTTAGTACCTGGTACATACAGTGCTGTTTCCATAAATACCAAGGTTTCAGAAAGAAGGTAACAGGGGAATATATATGTTACTTCCTTTTATAAGGGATTAAATAGAGTGACTGGCTGCTGTGAAAGGCTACTGATATTTACATTTCAGCAAAACTTTACCCTAAAAGAAAAAAGTAAGTAGCTTAAAAAGCTATTGATACTAAACTACAACATATGATTAGAGTGAGTCAGAATTATTTTCATTAATAAATGATAGACAGATTTGGCTGTTTGCTGTGGGTATGTGTACATGAAATGCTTTACTGCATGTTAGACTAATCTGCTGCTCAGTAAAGCATCACAGTCTACACGTGCACAGCAATTACTGGGCAGTAGATTAGTCTAATGTGCCATTTTCTAGTACTTGTCGATAGTTATTAGAAATCAGCACATTAAACTAGCATGCCAAAGTGCATGTGTAGACGCTCCTGGTCAGCCTAGGCAGCAGGGGCCCACATGGGGCAGGGAGAGCTGTCCCAGCTTGGGGGGATGCTGCCTCCCAGCCATGTGGAGATTGAGGCAGCTGCCTGGCAGTTGGGACAGCTTTCCCTGCCCCATAGAAATCAGGACAGGTCCCAATCTGCGTGGGACTGGCAGGCAGCTGCCCACCCAGCCATGACAACAGCTCCCCCAGCCTCTTGGGGTTTGGGGCCCACCCCAATCTCCCCGTGGCTAGGGAGCTGCCCACCAAGCCAAAACAGCTTCCCCTCCCACCCTACCCCACACAAATTGGGGCTGCCTCCCAAGCTGGGAAACTAGGGGTTGGCACCATGGACTGGGCTGCTCCTGTTGGGTGTAATTTGCTCCTGATGTGGGTGCCCATGTGGACGTGTACCCAGGAGCACTTTAATCAGCCTGAATTTTCTGTGGAGAAAATTCAGATGCATTAATTGCACATGTAGACATGCCCTATGTGTACTAATCAACTGATTCTGATTCTCATGACTACATTGGATTTTCCTGACTATACTGGTAGGTTTGATGACCAATTTGTGGTTGTTTGTGAACTGTTCTCTTAGACTTTTCAGCCTTTGTTATTCATGATATGTAACCAACCATCTATAGGTTTGCTTTACTGCAGTAAAAACTGTTCTGTGTCCAGATTTTACATCAAAATATAGTCAAAATAAGGCACAGTTTAACCTTGATGTAGCTATTCTAAATTAAGCCTGTACCTCCTTGCTCATTATCAGGTTAACTTTAGTGCCTTATCTGGTTAGGGCTAGATACAGACATTACACATAAACTGGTTTAAAACTGTAACAGAATAGATATTCAGTGCACATAAACCAGGTTGAAAATGGCTGAAACTGGTTTGAGATAAACCTGGTTGAATGTAGTATCAAACTTAACTGATTTGGCTCAAGCTGGTTTATGCAACGTCTGTCTCAGACCCCTTCCTGGTTTAAGATAAACCAGACTCCCCCAGCATCCCAGCATGCTCTCTGGGTTGGGCGAGGCTCTGTGCTCCACAGCAGAACTGTTCCGTCCCCTCTGCTCCCTGGCCAGAGCTCCTGCAGAGACTGCAGGCACAGCAGGGTCTGCCTGGCTTCCCCCTGCCCTCAGCCCCCACTCCCACTGCTTGCTGGACAAGAAGGGATCCCCTCTTCCCTCCCTCCCATCTCCCACAGGACGGACCCCAGGCATGTGGTATGCTAGCAACTGTTGAGAGGTGTCTCTGTGTGTGTGTCTCCAATTTCATGGGGACAGGTAGATAGAACAATGACAGTTTAGGATTTTTGGAGCTAATCAACAGGTCAGCTGTTAAGCTGTTTAAGAAGAGTTTAAATAATGGAGAGAGGCTATTGTTTTGCTAATGAGGTGATAAATACTGTTATCAGCCCCTTCCCCCTGCCCTATGGCTTGCTTGCCTGTCAGTTTGCTGCAGACAGTATAGAGAAGCAGGGGAGGAGATTGAAAGACTCTGTATGAGCAACAGATGCATGCACTGCACACACCCCCTTGCCTCAGAGTGCTAGCAGGGAGCTGAGGTCTGGCAACACTCCTGCCCCTTGAGCAGCCAGTGGGGAAAAGCCGGGGACTGTGCAGGCCGACCTCCAGAGGTCCTGCTAGGGTCTGGCCACACCCACCACAGCTCAGCACTGTACAAAAGACGGAAGAGTTGCTCTAGCACCCCCTGGCTTCTAGCCTGAGCCACTGCAGGCATGTGCCTGAATTTCCTCAGTCCAGAGAGATGTCTGTGCAGTTACAAACTGGTTCAGCCTAGCCAGGTTAGACCAATCTGCAAAAATTGAATCAATTCAGGCTCAGGGTTTTTAAATGTCTGTCCCTAGCCCAGGAGTTTACACTGAGATAGCCACCTCTCAATGTAAAACCACACCGTTTGGTGCAGTGACAAAAATGCCTAGCGCCATTCTACCGTGTCTGCTTCCTGCTTGCAGGACTGAAAGATTCTGAATAGGAGAATACCAGATGAAGGGTATGAACTTACTTTTATTCAGATATGTAACTACCTTTATTCAAAAGAGAATGCAAGTGCTTGTATGAAAAACAACTATTCCCTAAATAGTTGGTTATACATAGAGAAATTTGTGTAACTATCTGCAAATTGCCATAGAAAGGGATATGTACATCTATAGGAACGTTCTGCTGTGTATAGCAGGTGGTAGTCAAATCCTTGGGAAAGTGATTGACTTTTTTTGTTCTGCTTGTACACTTCCTAATACAACAGGGTCCTGGTTGGTGACAAAGTCTCCTTGGTGTTACTGCAGTACAAACAGTAATTAACAATAACAGGAATTATTTAAGAAAATTATCACATTCTTCTTCTCTGTCAACACCATGAGGTATTGTTGCTGTCCTGAAGAATGATTCACTTGCAGTTATTTGTCTCCATGTTTAATTGTAATCACTGAATTAAAAAAAAGCCTGATCAATACATTAACTCCCATTAAGAGCTTAGTGCCAGAAGCTCTAAGCCTGGTCCATTGGGGTCAAGTTCTGGACCATAGAGTTTTGTAATTATTTTTGTTAGTTTCTTTTACAGAAGCTTTGATGTTTTCAGAAGCACAAGCATAGCAAACTTTTGCTTTTAAAGCTCTTGCCTCTCTACGATTTGAGTTTTCCTGAAGATGCTGTTGGGAATGTATATGTGTTATATTAGTGTTGCAGACTGAGCCAGGGAAATCACATCTTGAGCACTGCTGATATCTCCTATTACTGCATTACAGGACAGGTGGTAAAGGAGAGGAAATATGGCAGATGATAGGAAGGAGGAAGCCAAGGCACCACACTGGACCTCAAGTCAACTAGCAGAGGCTTCTTCACACCCACATTCTCCAGAAATTAAAGAGCAAGCTGGTGCAGGTGCCGGACTGGTCAGAAGTGCCAATGGATTTCCATACAGGGAGGATGAGGAAGCAAGCTATGGTGAACGTGAGCAACCAGGCACATATTCTAGAACCAAAGAGAACGGGATCAATGGAGAACTATCTACAGGAGACAGAGAAACAGCAGGTAACAAAACCAGACTCCTGCCCATCCTCCCCTTCTTTTCTCATATCTGGCTTTGAATGGGAGGCTAGAGTTTTGGCTTTTGTTTGGGGTTTTTGTGGTCTTTTTTATTGGACCAATAGTTGGAAAGAGAAATTGAGCAAGCTTTCAGGCATAAAGCACCCTTCTTCAGCTGTAGGAAAGAGCTGAAGTGCTTATCTAAACTTGAATGCTTGTCCAACTACTCTTCCAATTATACAGTTGGTCCAGTAAAAGATACCACAAAAAACCAAAACTTTGCCTCCCATACCTTTTCTTGGACCATCATGGCTATAGCAACACTTCAATCCTGTCACATCTGGCTTTGAAGTCACTTTGGTCTGAAAGTGAACATAATACGTTTTCCCACCAGTGAGAGGGGAGACAAGGTGTTTGCTTTTATAAGGATAGGAAAAAACCTTGCGTCTTTCTGGAACCACTTATGGCTGTGTTGGCCCCAGAACAGAAAAGTCTCACATCACCCTTCCAGTCAGGGTTCAGGCAGTGACTGAATGTCCTGCCACTTTTCTGCCAGTTATTAGGTGATGCAGGACAACCATTTAGATGTGCTTTGTGATGTCCTGGGACAAACTGTTAGCACTTCCTATCCTGTGAAACCTTTTAGGGTTTATCCCAAGACAACAGGCATGGGCGTCTGAACAGTCACACTTTGTCCTGAGAGAAAATGTTTTTTCCTGGGGTAAATGTGACATCTGTTTGTAGCCTAAATGCTTCTTTGTCACCCTATTGATAACTCCCATGCAAAATAATAAGCTTGTAACATAAAGCCATGGGACTTAGTGAAATAGCCCTAGCCATTCATGACAAAGACCATCATTTCACACATTAGTGAAATGCTACCACAATCAAGCCTCTGAACAGTAGTCTAAATGTTAACTAATATGTCATCTTGGGTCGGGTGTCTGACTGGTAGAATCCAGGCATAACCTTACTAAAGCCAGTAGAAAACCTTGTGTAGGAGAAATAAGAGTTTAATCTGTTGTGGTATCATGGAACAAGAAAAGCAACATATGTTGCTGCATCCAGTGTCCCCGTTTTCCTTTAGCTAAGACAAATTCTGGAGACTGTACTCAAGGCCAGATTCTGGCATTGTCATACTGAGTAGTATGGTGTGGAAACCAATGGGACTTTTCATGGAGTAAAACCCTACTGAGCCTGAGTAGGAGTATTTAATCTGCAAGCATATCACCCTTTGTAATCATTGGGGGGTTTGTCTGTGAATAAATTCTATAGGCAATTTATAAAGACTTGAAGATTTGGCTGTATCTGGCAAAAAAAAAAGCCCAGAAAGCATGTTGTAGAAAATGAAAGAATTATGCAAAGAGGCTTCCCCTTTTAGAAATAAGTATTTTTTTTCTTTGCAGAACTCCTACTTTAATACCCAAATGTACAGTGGAAAGGGAATTTATCTGTTTTACAGACACCAGTGTCATTGATGTATGCATCAATGCATGCTAAGAGGATAATCATAGCACCATTTACTAACTGTTCAAGAACATTTTATGAGATGCTATCTATAATTTCTTTGCAGTTAGACAATTTTGAATTTCCAGGCCCTAAAGTAGTTTCATAAGGGATTGTATTGGAATGATACGCCTTCTTAAAAATATGTAGATTTAGATTTTAAGAGATTATCCTTGTGGATAGCAACAATTTGAAGGCTTTAAGGTGAAATAAATCCCTGTATGGCCATTAATGTAAACCTGTGATGGTGCTTGTTTGTGTGAAAGATGACAGAAACTGTTTTTTTCCCCATTCACCAACTTTATTCCATATATAAGCACCAAATAGGCATGCAGAGTTCCTTTTAAAAAAAATGACTCAATCACTTGCATTTTCAGATCATCATATTATTTTTTTATGTCTGATCCTAGCCACTATAAGAAAAGAAGAATAGTGCAATGGAGAAGTGCTAGCCTAAAGCTTAAGCATTCTGGTTTCAGTCCCTTGATCTGCCATTGATGATTTTTGTGATCTTTGGCAAGTCATTCTGGGCCCGATCTGAAAACACTTAGGCACCTAGGGCATGTCCAGATGCAGCCATGCAGTATGTGGCGCCACAAACACATCTGCAGCACCATACATTACACAGTCAGCTGTTCTCTGCACTGCAACGGTGCGCTGCCCGTGCATGCACTGCTCCTTTTCTTTTTTCCCCCATTCAGGGCTCAAAACAAACTGTTGGGGAAAAAAAACTGAGCAGCACATGCGGCTAAAAAGCAGAGCCAGGCTGCCCAAAGCCATGCTCTGCTGCCAGCATGCTCTGTGTGCCAGGATTGCTGCAGCTGCAGCCCCAGAAGGCCCCCAGGACCCCAGGTAAAGCTGCTGGAGCCAGCTCAGGGCTGACTCTAGCCTCCCCTACAGCCCTTGGGGTAACTTGCCGTGTGCCAAAGTGCGTGTGGCATGGATATTCCCTGGGGACAAGTAGAAAGGTGTGCTGCTGCTACTTCTCCCCGGTGAGCCAAAGGTCTGTGCCCATCTGGACATGGTCTTAAAGTGCAATAGTGGCAGAATTTAGGCACTTAAGTCCAAGTCTAACTGCACAGGTTAATTTTTAGCTACCTAAGTTTTTGCCAGAAGATTTACTTGGTGCCTACAGTTTTGCTCGTGTTGCCAGAGCTCAGAGGTGCCATCATCTTGCTCAGCATCTTTGCACCTATTTTATAACAAAGCCTGTTTGGGATTCATGACCTAGGCGTCCCTGCTCTCAGAGTTCCCTGAGTGAACCGATATGATAAAGATTGCTAGCTGAAACAAAAACACTCCACCCTAATGCTGAAACTAAGGCGAAAATAACTGTATTGTGGAAGCATGTATACTTGATCGCTGCAGCAAACATTTTTTGTTTGCACAGTTAAAAATTGCCTTTATTTTTCTCTTTTAGCCTCTATCTAAGATTTATTGAGTCTGACCTCAGTATTGGAATCCTCTGAGTCTGGCTGTAGCATTGGCTTTGGTTGATTTCATTCAGTAGCATACTGATAATGGCTGCATTATTGAACAGCAGTGTCCCCCTTTAAAATGGAAGAGAACTAACCTGATGACAGAAAGCATGATGCAGGATATAAGGGCAGCCTCAGGGTCTGATCCTGCATCCATTTTTGTCAGTGGAAAAAAACTGTGTGGGGCAGGATCCATCTTTAAAATTGTCAAATATCCCTTTGAAAATCATTCTTGCTAGTCTTTCACCTTATAAAAGTAAGACAAGTTAGTAACACAGGAGATCCTTCAAATATCCATCCATCCATCCACTCTCTGCATGTGTGTGTGTTCACTTCTGCTTTTTGTTGAGAGGTAAGAAACTGATTTAGGCAATGTGAACTGTGCTGTTAAGAGCACGGGTGTTCAGGCCTTCTGAAAATACATGCATCACCCATCTTATCCAACAAAGACTGAACTGTGGGCAGTAATACCTTCTGAATGATTCCTTTGTATTGATTGTGTTATTTTATTTCCAGTTATTGAGAACAGGACAGGTCCATGATTACACAGGACTCAGGTGGATTCAGAATGGAGGCAAGGGGAATGCGACTACACTTCCTTAGCTCTCATATGCTGTGAGCTCTCTGAGGTCAGCAGCATGTCAGCACAGCTCCTGCTGAAGTTCTGCATGTGCTGTGAACTATCTGAGCTCATCAGATGATCATCCCAGGCTCCTGCCACAACCCCTCCTTCAATGCAGCTCCAGAGTCAGGGGATGAGCATCATCCCCTCCTTCCTCCCCCTTCCCCCAACACTGAATTCAACTGCAAGGGGAAAAGAGGGAATGAGTAGCAGCAGTGGTAACTCCCTGGGCTCTGGAGCTTTGTAAAAACAGGGGCTGCCAGACCCCACACCAATCAGCTGATGAGTTCAGAGAGCTCATGGCACAGGCAGCACTCTGGCAGGAGCTGTGCTGACATGCTGCTGACCTCAGAGAGCTCACAGAGCACATGCACCATGCAGCCACCATACCACACACTTTCCCTCTGCTCCAAGCCCCTCCCTGATCCACCCCTACATACAGACACTCACACGCTTCAGTGGGTACTCAGGCCCAAGAATATAAGATCAGATGTTAAGTTCATTAGGCAAAATGTTTTCTCATCCTGGAAAATATGGATTATAAAGTTCATAAGTATGTGCCTAAATTTGGAAAGACTGATCTTAATGGGCTTTGGAACAGGCCCCATATAAGGACCACCATGGTACTAATTAATTTCTGGGAAGGGTCTTTTGGCCAATAATGATGGCTGCCTCTTGGCTGGTAAAAAATCCTAGTCAGGAATATAGGGGAAAAATCTACCAAACCTTAAGAGATAAGCTCATCTCCAGTTAATTCAACAAATCCAATGCATATTTAACTTGCAAAGAACTTTAAATCATAAAGATTGTTTACTACATTTATAATGCATTTGTTATTAGATGTCCTTTATATTTAGTAATGATGTGATGAGTAATCTGTCAATTTTTTATAGTTAGAGGTAAAAGTAGCTGGATTTATTCTGAAGTCTTTTTCTCATAAGTAGAGTTAATGTGTCCGTATGTATAGTGACTCAGTCAATTGAACTCTTTCTTCATTACATACCAGGTTTACAGTGGAGAAGGATTGGGTTACCTATGTAGTTATTTGTTGAATTGTTTTTTAACAAGCTGAGACAGGATAAATTGCCTGGAATCCCATTTTCTGGATATTTTGTTCTCAAGTCAGGTAGTGTCAGAGGAAGAAACAGTTATTGGCCAGTGTGCTTAGTGAGGGATCATGACAGACTGATACATGGAGAGATCTTCACTGGTGAACACAACACCCAAAGGTTTGGGGCATGGAGAAACTGCTGAAAGACAGGAAAAGTTGATGTGGCTCATCAGTAAGTTGAGAGATCCTCCTCCTGAAGAACATACGAATCTATGGGAGGAGTACATGTGACAGATGGGTGGGTTTTGAAATCAAGAATGTATGAGAGATTTTTGGTAAATGAGAGATT